TACTTGATGTGAAGACTCCTTCACTCTGTTGGTATTTAGAGCTACTACAGCATCAGAAACCCTGTACAGGGTCGCTATGAGTCAGAACTGACTCTACGGTAAACAACAACCACTTCCATGAGTATAGGTCAAGTTCATCAAATTGTAGCAATTTACCCTTGTTTCCTTTATCAAAAATTGTGGGTTGTTTTTTTTTTTTCTTTTCCTCTAGTCAAATTCTGATCATCTAGCCACTGAGGCTAGGTCAAGTGGATGCTATCTGCAAGTGTGGGTGTTCTTATGCGTCTCCCCTCACTTCATATCAGCTGGGTTCTACACTGTCAGCTCTAGCCCTCCATGACTAACTATGGCCTTGTCTATGCGCTCAGGTGTTCCCACAGGTCTCACCACACTTTGAACCAACCAGTCCTTTCTCTTCTCTCTCTCATCTCCAGGACTTGGCCCATTTCTTCATTGCTGCCTTTCCCCCTCTTCCACTCACCAGCAGACCAACGTGGTCGTCAGCAAGCTTACATGCCTGCTCATGCGTTCCCTTTGAGTTTCAGTCTTAGAGAGGGTACATTCAGTATTGTAAAGTACAACACTTGGAGTATACTGCAAATTTAATGTTTGTCCTTTGGGCTTACATTAATTCTTGCAGTTGTACCAAAAATGAACATATTCATTTTTTTAAGTATTCATAGAATATATTTAGTTAACTATTACAGTTTAGGGAAAATGTGGAATTAGGAGCCTAATTCTTTACCTAGTAAACTGTATAACTTTGGACATGTCCTTAGGATCACATTTTCCATTGTTGTTTAAAGAAATCAGATCAGAATAGATGCTTTTTAATGTTCCAATTCTAGATCTCTTTAGCCTTTGAATATTCACACACTGCCTGTTTTTGTTTTTCTGGTTTTAGGTGATGTCCTTGTTGCCGTGAATGATGTTGATGTGACCACTGAGAACATAGAGAGAGTTTTGTCTTGTATTCCAGGACCTATGCAGGTGTGGACATCTATTAATAAATTTTATGATGAGTTACATAAAGTAAATATACCTTGTACTTTAATGTGTTGTTGTTGTTGTTAAGTGTTGTCAAGTTAGTTCTGACTTATAGCAACACTATATAGGGTTTCCAAGGAGCAGCTGGTAGGTTTGAACTGCTGACCTTGAGGTTGACAGTCCTTATTCTACAGTGCCACACCTTATCATATATATTGGGTGAGTTACACTTACTTCTACACATGAATATTTAAAACAATTTTAGCTTTTGCATACATTTTTCCCTTTCTGGGGGTGTTTTAAAAAAGAAAGAAATATCAAAAAACAGAACTCATCCTGAGAAAAGCAGGAACAATAGCAATAATAAAAACTCATATGATGACTAACTTGCCATTAAAACTGCCGTATGTGATGCTGAAAATCTAGTTCCTAGATAAGTCAGTTTAAACTTTCATGGAATTTTCTAGTCTCCTACTTACTAAAATCACTTATATAAAATGCTTTTGTTTGTTTTTAAACTAATTGTACTATTTCCTTCATATGTTATACTGGATATTCTGTTATGTAGTTTATCCTACACATTAGGTTTGTCTAGCCATTTAGTTCATTATTTTTTCACTCCTTGTAGGTAGGAATAAATCTCTCTCATAATAAGTTATTTTGATACTCTAATGTGTTATAGATGACACTTTTAGGTCATTAGATGTATTTGAAACTGCTGTGACTTCTATTTATTAATACTTTTCTCTTGTTAACATCAAGAATTTTGGTAAGGATAAGAAGGATGATATGCTTTTGATAGGTGAGAGGAACAATTAGACAGTGAGAGATAAAGCAGTTTTTGTATTGATCAGGGAAAAAACAGAATCCCTGATAAATCCTACTGTCATGTGATTTAATTACTAAAATAATAAGACCCATGATGAAATTCCTTATTGTCTAAGAAATAAAATTGCCCTTCTGACTCTTACTTAACTTTCCTTAAATAAATTTTAAAAAGGTAAATATTAACTTATCTTTCTTTGGAAATATAAAATATACATGCTAGAATACTATGGTACCCAGTTACCATCATGTCCTAGAAATGGAAAGAGGGATGGGGATGGAGAGAGGGTGAATACCAATTACAGCCCTGGAGCAGGGCATGTTGCTATCCCCTTTGGTTAATAGATATGAGGAGGTCTTAGGGTAAGTCAAGATATTAAAGCACTTCAGGGGGAGCAGGCAGCAGCTACTTGCAAATAGTAATGAACAGTTGTGTTAACTTTAACAATTAAAACAGCTTAACTTGTAAATTGGGAGTATATCCCTCCTATGTCAGTTCCAGTTCTATTACAAACATCACTAGAATTTAGCCATATCTCTTCTAGCTTCAAAAAAGAAAAATTGTATTTGTGTGGAGGTATTTAATACTTCCATTTAATAAACATTTCAAAATTCAGCTACGTATACTTGGCAGAAAAAAAAGAAGACAGGAATGATGATTTAAATATTCAGAGCAATTCCACCCCTCATTTATTAGTCCTGCTTGGGCATGAAATAGGAGTTGTGTGTCTGCTGCTCGCTCAGTTAGGCTCTTCAGCGTGAGCAGCTTGCTGCAGTAACTGTGGTTCTGAGGGATTTGGTTTTTTTTTTATATAATGTGATTCTTAAATGCCAGTACTTACATCTTGTGCTGAAAGGAGTAAATAGCAGTTGGATTTCCTGGATTAAAAGAATATGTTGGAAGCAGTAGCTCAAAAGAGGGAACAAATCCTTACAGCAAGAATCATTCCCAACCCCTCCACACACAGAGTAGACAGGGATGGGCAACTTGGACATTGGCTACCCAAAATGGGGGGTGGGGGCTACAAAGGCAAGAAGTGACTGGCTTACAA